ATCCTTCATTCTCAATAATGAGATGCAAATCACCCACCAAATATAGCCTGTACAAGCCCACTGTCTTCTTTACTCATAGAAAATAGCAACAATAATTAATAATATTCTTAAAACTGTTAGCACTGTTTGCAGTTCCTTTTTTGGCCAAAAGTAATTTTGTTTTCTTAAGAAATCTTCAACATTGGTTGAAAAAAAAAAGAACACAAACTATTCCAATTCTACCTAAGCTCAATAACTCATTATAAGGAATTTAACATCATAAACACACCAAGAGTGTCACTCATTCAATGGAAACAAATTGATTTTACTTTTCAGTGATATTTGTAACATTATTTGATAATATTATTGACAACCATATATTGGAAACACTATTCTTTGGCAGGGCAATGAGTAGAAAATGAGAGATCTACATTGTTATTAAAATTCACAAATCTGACCAATATAACATCGTCCACAAGCATTTTCTCAATTTTAAAATATTTTTTATTGCACTGTAGAAGTGTTTTATGTTATATTTTATATCTGATATTTAAAACACTCACAATATAATAGGACTATGCATGTATAGTATGCTGGTACTAAAAGCATTTTGAACCGACGTTTCTCTTAATATGTATGCCGCTTTCAGAGACCTAAGGTTAAGGCCCATAATGGTACCCGTCATCGAGATAAGCAATTAGCCTCTGATGACTTTAAGATCTGGTATGCACTTTTCATTGCAGCTTCTATATTACGGAGTATATATTATGATATATATATATATGTACTGTACATAAAGAATTATTATATGTTGTTCTCTTTTACTTTCATTTTAAATTTTATTTTTTATGACAAATTATATTCATAAATTTTCATATAAAATTGATTTATAAGGGATCATCAAGTACATATGTAGTATATTCTTTGAAATGATGAGTTAAAGAGTCAGGCCTAATGGTTCATTGCCATCCATATAGAACTTCTCTTGAGCATATCTACAAAATGAATAACAGAGTACAACAAAAAATAACATTCTAATCCATTAATCTCTAATCGTTTTAAAGGCTTCACTTTTCATTTTATCTTCTATAGGATATACATATACTATACCTTATAGTGTAGCTAATGACCAACAAAACTTAAAATACAAGTAGGCATTGTAGAAAATGATGACTTATAATATATTACCTCAGCTCTCAGGTGGAAGACTGGGTGAAACAAATTAAAATGTCAATTATCTCTTTGACCTAAAAAAATCATATCTAAATGACAAAACTACCAATAAATATTGTGAATTCTTGTTATGATGCAGATATGATAATTATAAGCCTGTTTGGTGACCCTTTTTTTTCGGCTTATCACGCTTATCAGCCAGCTTTTTCACCAAACACGTAACTTTTGATTTCGCGTGCTAAATTTTGTAATAAGCAGAAAAAAGTAAGGTTGTAGTTACTTTTCTGGCTGTATTGGCTGAAGTTACTGCAGAGGAACATTTTAGCTATTTTTTCATATAATTTTTTATTTAATTTATTAATAATAAATATTTTAAATATAATTTTTTCATAAATCAGCAGAATCAGCCAATACAGCCACTTCAGCCAGAACTTCATAAATTTCAACTGAATCAGCCTATTCAGCCAATTTTAGTGTTACCAAACAGGCTTTATATATGTGATAAATCACAAGCTTGCTACTAACCACATAAACTACACATACATATGCGATAATTACAATGCAAATATGCAACTAGACTCTTGTAAACTTGTACCAAGTATATATCAATCCATGCATGGTAAATGACCTTTTTGATATATTATTAAGCAGAAGACTGTTTTGAGAACTACAAGTAGTCGGTCAAGTTTGAAAAAGTAATTTAGAACAAAACATGGTATGCAAAGCTATGCTGAAATAAAGGTTATTGATTCAAATCAGGATAGTGACAAACTTATTTCTAAAAACAGTGCTCCGTATAATACATCAAAATATATTATCAAAGTGGGATATGGAAGAGAGAAACTGAAGATTGACATGCACAAATTGACATGAGAAACGATTAATTTGGAAAAGTTGAAGAAGAGTACAACAGAGTTGTGGTGCAAATCAGCGGCATCATATTTATACCCAAAATCTGGGAAGGCTTGCTCTCCTACACTATTTCGGATCCACAATCGAAGAAACAGGGGTGCTACATATATAGTAGGGGAGTTGACCTGTAATGATGAGAATATTGGGGAAAAAATAAACCAGACAATCGGATTACACAAAATCAGATTACATAAAATTGAAATACGAAGACAGGACATATTTTCTTGAGCAGATGACTGATGGATTTTGGTGGGGGCTAAAAAGGAATACCTAATCTCTGGCTAGCGGTGGAGATGGAGAAGGGAACGGATGTAATTGCATATACTCAAATGATGAAGTGCAAAGTGTGTAAACCTTAAATGAGGATACGTGACTCAACAAACGGAGTTTTAACGATAATGGGGGAGTGAGACGGAAACGGAAAAGTCATCCATAGCTGTATAAGAATCAAATAAAAATGTACAAGCATATAAAGCTATCCAATCCACCAACACATTTTTTAAACCAAAAATACCCATACCCCTATTCGCTCTTATAAGATTGTAGAGAATTGGTTCATAAGCTTTGACCATCTAGTTTTGGCAACTCCTAAATTCTCTTAGAACTCAAATTACGTTTATGATGATTGGGTCTCATGCGGCCACGTATAATTTTTAGTTCAGATAAAATAGAAACAGAATAAGTTTTTTTGCTTTCGATCTTCTACAAATCTTCAATTCATAATGTCGAGAACTAATTAATCTATTTATTTGAGTTAATAATGAATGAGTAAGAAATTTATAAAAGCTGTATTATGGATACTTCTTCAGGTATAAAATAATGCTATGTTTTATAATTAAGTAAATAATTTCAAAATGAGATACAAAAACACGAAGTGCATAGATAGTCGTCAGTGGAGGACCTAGGGGGTCCTAGGGGGGCAAGTGCCCCGCTTCCGATCCCGAACTTTAGTATTAGTACTTAAGATAAAAATACTAAATAGTGTCCCACCTATCTGGAAAAAATACTCCGTATAACTATTAATGAGGTAATAATCCCTTCAAAGAGTATATGGAGATTGTTATAAGACATTTAAACAACTATGAAATTATGATGGAATGATTGTTTACGGTTTAGACACGGTCCTAATTGTAAATGTTAAATTTTGATTGTTCATAATATGAAGATTATAAATGGTGCAAAGATGATTTAGTTGCAATTCATGTAATGTCTTTCTTTCAAAAAACTAAATATTATGTTCAAAATTGTCTGAATAGGTTAAAACTAGACCTACTGCTATGTTTCTTTTCTGTTGTTGCTTTAGTCTTATGAGTTTTGGGCATATCTTAAGTTTTGGGTGTTTCACATTAAAGAGCAAGCTAGACCATCATACATGGAGTCTTACCATCATACATGTGTGTAATCTCTAATATTTGCAGACCATTTTGTCTTAAATTTTGTCTTAAATTTTTCACACTTTTAAGGTGTCTAATATAAAATTGCAACATAATACTCCGTATCACATAAGTGCATCAACTAACCTTCTACATATATAAGTAACGAAAATAGTTTATGAATTTCATGTGTATTTTTGTTCATGTAAACGTGCACTTTATCTTATAAGAGGTGCACATTTTTATACGTGCACGTATAATTCAATAAAAATGTAAAAATCCTGGATGAAATAAAAAAACACATGGCTGTTTGCAATCTCTAATAATACATGGATTGCAATCTCTAATAATTACATGGACGAATGCATTGCACGTGTTCAACCTTCATTAAGGTTATTTTGGTTCAATCAGTTCTTTTTTACTCTTACGGATGGAGTAAAAAAGAATAATTAACCCAAATGAAAGTGATGCCTCTGAAATAGCCTGATATAAAACTACAAGTCTAAACTATGCATTTGAGGGTTACCCAAAAGAGTATAAGCTTTAACTAAAAAATGAAATATCTTACTCCTTTATAAACAACAGATAATTTTTAAAGTGTTAAATTATTTTTTAATTTTTATATATTCATTATTGGTGTCATGTGAAAAATTATGAATTTTGATGTACACTTTGTAACCATCGGAGTACAAATAAAAAAGTTATGAAAGATTCTTTATATGATTTACTCCCTCCCTTATAACTTTGTCATCTTTCCTTTTTGAACGTCCCAAAAAACTTTATCGCTTTCTCTTTTAATCAATTATTTTGTGGTTTATGTTATTTTTCTTTCCTTTACACAAACCTCAACCACACAGTTTTTACTTTATTATTCTTTGTGCCGGTCAACTTTGGCAAAGTTTTGAGGCACGAAGGTAGTATATGTCTTATAACAATAAACTACTACTTGCATTGGTGACTTGTTTTGATTGGACACAACAATTAATAAAGTTGTGGTTGAAACTTTTATATAATAAAGTCAAATGTGACACTTATGTTTAGGCCATCCAACAGAGAAGTAAGACAGATAAAATGATGCGGAAATATAATGTAAATATAATATATCCATAATTCAGACAATTCAATTCGTTCAACCAATTAAAGTTTCAACTTAATTTTGGAAATTTCAACTGACCCGAGAAGTTCTCAGCGTACCAAACAGTGGCAAATTGTAATCCTTTCTATCATCACCATCTCATCACCCTCAAGGGTTGTTGAGCTTCTCATCGATCACAGTTTTCAAAATAATCATTGGCTTAAAAAGCATAAAAGAGAGGGAACGAACACCCAATCTGATTGAAGATTTTGTTTTTTAAGAGAATTAAGTTGTGAGCCAAGTATTTTGTGGTCTAATGGCATCACTGCTGATCTCACAAAGAGGTCACAGGTTCGAGTCACATCCCAATCAAGGATGTTGGCATTAACAAGAACAGATCAATAATAGATTTAGAAAAATGTTCAAAAAAAAAAAAGATAACAGTTGACTTGTGAGTCATTCAGGTATTTGCAGTTTCATTGGGAAATCATATACTAGTACATTTTAAAACTTATATAGTTGCATTTTGGAAATCAACAAGTTAGTCATTCAGGTATTTGCAGTCATAAAACTGATACAAGCAAGCACTGTATTTGCAGTTTCATTGGGAAATCATGTACATTAATAAAAGCCTATGGAAAATACAAACAAACAAGTACAATAAACATGTAAAGTTAAACTTGGGATCTTCAACCTAGACTGTATTTGAAGCGGGAAGACGTTCCACATTGTCTATTCCTAAATCCACTTCAGTTTGGTCAGGACAAGGTTTCTCCTCATCATAGCTCTTTGTTCCATGTTTGGCCTCTGAAGATTGATGAGAATGATTTTCATCCGGGAGATTCATTCTTCTCCCTTTTGACGAGGTCACACCATTCTTATTGCTGATTGCTTGTATAGCCCAAGGAGACTTTCCTGGGTTTTTAACAGTCTTGGGTCCAAGACTTTCTGAACCGCTGGTTGCTTGTGATGCAGATGACTTGTTCCTCCCAATCTTAAGAGATATGGGGCGATTCGTGAGCCTCTTTTTCAGTTCAAGTTTTGGAGGAGGTTCCTTGTAGAAGCTTAGCATTGGAGTAGCTTTAAAAGTCAAGCTCTTTTCTTAGCTGCTTTATGTCGGCTTTCTTTAGATTTTGCCTGCAAATTGCTCTTTTCCTCTTCCTGTGTCTTCTCTTCTAGCTTTGTGGCGAACTCTTTTCGTTTTTTAGCACGCTATTCGATCCAAGGAAAATCCAGAACCATTCATTCTCCGCTGTCCTTGAGGAGTAGCAGATGAAGCTGTAGAATTGGAATTCTCTTCCTCCTTACAATGCACATGATCAGTTATGGGTTTGGACTTTTCACCAGTTCCTTTCAATGCCTCGGAGTACCATTAGCAGAACAAGACTTGCCAGCCTTAGACTGATCAAGGCTATTAGTACAAGCAGTTAAACTTGTTCTTCAGCTGGTAGTTCCATTTTTCCTTGCATGAGAAGTCTTAAGAGTTCTAGATGAATCAACTCATTAAACAGAAGCGACCTGTCTCCCCCAGATTCTTTAGATTCTGAAGATGGTTTAGGCATTTCCACAAACACCTCTTCTTTAACATCCCCATTTTTTCTTTGCAATCATACCACCTTCTCATGTACCAATGTTCGAGAAAAAATGTAGTATTAAGTATTAACAAAGGGAATTCGTGATGCCGCCATGGCTGCAAAAATCAATGCTCATGAGATTGTGTTGCCCTGCCAAGATACGGTTTAGATGTCATCCATGCCCAATAAATTGCCAAAAACTAAATGGATGACTAATTAGCATTGCCCTGTGTACCTGCAGAACTAAAGGCATCTCCAAAGAGCTGAGAATATAGCATTCTCAAATGTATGTAATGCGTGGAAAAGAAAGTGATGCCACTGAAATAGTATGATGTAAAATTAAGCCCGAAATATGCATTTAGTGGTTAGGAATATGTGAAGAGTACAATCCATTTCAAAAAATGAAATATCTTCCTCCTTTATAAATCTCAGATAATCATTTCAAAAAATACCCTCCTTGTGTGGCAAACTATGCAGTATACATTGGGGCCACACTGCAGCATGAACTTCAATGAATATTTGGGAGTAGAGAGAATGTCAAGGAAAATTAAAGATTGTTGGGAACTACATATTTTAAATATTATTAGTTGAAATTTAGAATATTGTTTATCTCCATTGAGTACTACGTGTATACAATCTAACCATATATAATCATTATCATCTACGTGTATTGCTCTCTCTGTATGCTTCATATACTTCGTGCATGGGTTTAAGTCCGTTTTACATGCAAAAACAACTCGGGGAAGTGATTCAAAAAATTAATGGATGATAAGGTTGCTTTTTTATTTTGGCCAAGCCTTACGAACATATACATAGAAATATAATGCTTGATTATATGCTATGATGAAAAGGTTGCCGTTATGGAATTATTATGAAACTGGCAAATAATTATTTGTTGTGGATTAGAATGCTCAATTCCTTTGAATAAGTGCATATCAGTTTCTAAGGAACTAGGGAATATCTCAGATCTGTTGAGCTTGGAAAAATTCATATGTTGCAGAGAAAATAGGACCCAGTAGTAGCAGAATCTAAAAGAACTCTGCTTTTGTGGAATTGAATTTAAAAGAAGCTTCCATTTTTGGCCCAAATCTGTGTTTCTAGAGGGAAATGGAAGCCGGAACCGCCATGGTTGCAACAACTGGTTTGATTTCCGGGTTGCCCCACCAAGATATGTATCAGGTTCTCCAAACACCTCAAATTAGCCAGCAAAGAAAGAGGAAACACAGAAAACCACACCATCACAGCCACTAGATTCACAAGTCTAACAACATAAGCAGGACACAGAACAAATTGTAAGATACTACGTATTGCGGAGTGATAGTGATGGTGATGGTGAAGAAGAAAATGATGGTGATGACGACGACATTCCTCAGTTTCAAGAAGGGGAGTGTTGAAGTTATGGATGTTTACACTTGAGCTTATTTGAATCCCAGACCAGACTAGATCAAACAACACTTAAAAGAGACCAGACCAGTTTGTTTTGCAAAAAAAAAAAACCGGTCCAGACCAGACTTAAAGAAACAAGAACACACTTTAACAGACCAGTCCATACTTGAAAAGTTATAAAATACACATACCATATATCTTTCAAACCAAACCAAACCAGACCAGTTCAGACCAGATTTAAATAGGTCAAACCAGAAATTTCTAGTCTAGTAAAACATCCTAGCTGCTTGCGATTGCTATGATGAAAGGGTGGCTCGGTGAGGGGATTGGAGAAATCATGTGCAGGTTGGAGGGAGGCAACTGCCCTTTAAAGAAACTCCCATCCCTCTCCTGCCTCGCTTCTTCTTGGGCTACAACTGCCCTTCATGGCTTGCCTCTGACCAATTCTGAACACTTATGGCCTTGCATGTGCATTCAGGATTTAGGTTTTGTACCATTCAAAAATTTATAAAAGCTTTTTAACCATGTCTTTGGTACACAATTTTTAAGAACTTTTTTTCAAAATAAAAGAACTTTTTTGAAAGGTTGCATTGAATAGCATTTGACAGAAAGTATGTAGGTTTTATCATTAATTAGTCACAGAGTTATCAAACAGAATTAAATCAAACAACTTGGACCATTTTCTTTTAAGAGCAAATAAAAATCAAGATATAGAATTGATACCTCAAAATCACCTCTGGAGCCGCCTCTTTTTTAATGACCTTTCATCCATTGTTTATGACATTGCTTTAAGATCCTGTTTGGGAGAGGTAACTCTTTTAGTGAGGCTCAGATTATGTGTTTTCAGCAGCCAGTGTGAACAGCCCAAACTGCCATGGCTGCAAAAAACGAGCCATTCCGAATTGCCCTGCCAAGATACAGATTGGGCTGTCCAAATGCACCAACATCAGTAGCCAGGAATCATCACAGCCTCCTCATACACACAAGGGTTGTTGGTTACATATTTTTTGAAAAGTAGCAGATAGATGGGCCAAGCACCCTATCAGAAACCCAAACTCGCTTACTAATGAGCTATCCAACAAAGTTGATGAATCACAATCAAGGTGAAACTGCTACTATATTCACTACAAAGTAGTCAACACAGTAAGTTGCTTACTTTCGAAAATCTACTTTACGTCTTTACCTTTCCAAAACTGACTATCAAGTGCAGCCAGTATTACCTAATCATTTATCTACAAAGAAAAAGAGAAAGGAAGGTGATTGAAGAATGAGTACACAGTTAACAGTGTTGAAATTAGAAAAGTTATCATTATTTTTAGATAATTATAAAGGAGAACATGAAAATACATTGAACAGGGAGCACAATTTTTTAAAATTTAATTGGATTAAATAATATAGCACTCATATGACATTAAAAATAAATTCATTACTCTTACCTTTTCTAATTCTCTGCTTTTCAGTCTTGAATAATTATTCAATAAAAAACAGAAATGGAACATAAAACAATAACAATTTATGCTTGTATTATAATAATATAATATGATAATATTATACATTTTTGAGAAAGTGTTACCAGGTAAAAATCTTTTCAAAAATATTTTTAATAACTAAACCACCGAATAACACTTGCAAATACTAGGAAACATATGTATGTATGTTATTATGGGCATAAAAGTTGTAGAATGAAATTGAAAGAAAAGAAATACACAATACAAACAAACTCAAAAAAAATATGAAATGGGATGTTAATAACTCAAAAGAAATATACCTGCTAGTCATCAATGGCTCCACTTTCCAAAAGAAGAACCAACAACACTCTAGAATACGGAGTACTATTGAGCCAGCTAAAATATTATGTCAAACTGTCAAAGTACTCTTCCCAAGAATCAAGCCCAGCTCTAGTTGATTCAACAATCACCACACATTGTCAAATATTCTCACGCAATAATAAGAGCCCATTTGGTAACACATTTTTCAATTTATCAACCATTCAGACTTTTCAATGAATCTTTTAGCAAACGCTTATCTTATAATTTCACGTGCTGGATTGTGCAATAATAATCAAAATAAGAATTGCTTGAGGAACTTTTGTAATTTAAGTGGTGAAATGGGTTATCTATGATTTTCTTTATAAAATTTATGTTTCTTTTAATTATAAAATATACTTCATATATAATATTTTCATAATTCATTTGATTCAATCAATTCAGCTATTTCAAATTTCAAACATAATTTTGGAAATTTCAACCGATTGAACCAATTTTCAGCGTACAAAACAGGCACCGAGACATGTTTCAAATATTAAAAAAATGTGTTCTACATTTGGGGCAAGGCAAACTCTAATCCTTTCTGTGATCCATCATCATCATATCATCATCCTCAAGGGTTGTTGAGCTTCTCATTAATCACAATTTTCGGGGATAATCATTGGCTTAAAAAAAACAAAGAGAGGGAGCAACCACCCATAAAACTCATTTACCTCTCTGGGTCCAAATGAAGCCTCATTGTCCACGACATCAAACCAATCTGATTGTAGATTTTGGTTTGGAAAGACATTCTTAAGTGAATGAATGAATAAATAAACAATTAGCAAGTATTCAACTTGTAGGAATTTGGTAAAGAGACAATCACAAAACACTTCGGCTTTCAGGATAGAGGCTCATAAAGACGATTTATTACTCCATTTGTCCCACTGAGATTGTCTCATTTTTCCCTTGTAGTGCATCCCACAACGATTGTACATACCAAATTTGAAAATGTGTATGATTTTAAATCGTTCATACTTTATTCTCACCAATCAATTCAATATCCACCACATAAACTCACATTTCTAGCAACCACACTACCTCCTCTTGTATCCATGTAATGGGGATAGATGTATTATTAGCCGAGGAATTTGTGATGGCACCATGGCTGCAAACACCAATACTCATGAGATCGAGTGTTGCCTGGCCAAGATACGGGTCAAATGTCATTCATGCCCATTACAGTAATGGGGATAGATGTAGTATTAGCCGAGGAATTAGTGACGCCGCCATGGCTGCAAACACCAATGCTCATGAGATTGAGTGTTGCCCGGCCAATTTTTTAAGAGCCTGTTTGGGAGAGGTAACTCTTTTGTAAAGGCTCAGATCCTGTGTTTTCAGCAGCCAGTGTGAAAAGCCCAAACTGCCATGGTTGCAATAAGCGGGCCATCCCGGCTTACCCTGCCAAGATACAGATTGAGCTGTCCAAATGCACCAACATAAGTAGCCAGGAATCATCACAGCCTCATTATATAAAAGCTGGACCACCCGCGATAACTGTTCCCACCTGACAATGATGACATCAATATGACACCATTGTGGTGTCATCATGAGATGATGTGACACGTGCTTGCAATTCATCTGCAGGTTTTGGCTCTCCTCCGTATGAAGGCAACACAGCTAGCAGATTGCTTGGTCATTAAGCAACAGCTTATTACAACTCCTTAATTTAGAAAATTAAACATCGTTTAACGGTTTAAATGAAAGAACAGATAAAGAATGAACCTCAACAACACCCTCTAAGCTTGATCAATTCACTTCACTGCTGATAAGATAAAATAATATATGTAGACGAACGGCGTGGTGTACCGGATCGGGGAGGAGATGGAAGCGGAGAGAGCAATATAGCGTACGACCGTTTGGTTGAGAGATGGTAAATCGGATGAATTGGACCGGATCAAATATTTGGGCCAATTATAGCTAGAGTTCATCTCATCATGATCTCATCATCCTCAAGGGTTGTTGGGCTTCTCCTTGATCACAGTTTTCGGGGATAATCATTGGCTTAAAAAACAACAAAGAGAGGGAGCAACCACCCATAAAACTCATTTACCTCTCTCAGAGTCCAAAATAAAGCCTCATTATCCACGACATCAAACCAATCTAAGAGTAGCTTTTGGTACGAAAAGACAGACATAAGAGAATAAATAATTAAACATATAGCAGATATTCAACTTGTCGGAATTTTTAAACAATTACAGTATTACAACACACTATTTTTCAAGAGAGGCCCAAAAAAACTTTATGATTAGCCAAAGGAATTTGTGACGCCGCCATGGCTGCAAACATCAATGCTCACGATATTGAGTGTTGCCCTGCCAAAATACGGGTCAGATATCATCCATTCCCAATCAATTGCCAAAAAATAAATGGGTAGGACTAAATATCTTATATCATCGCCCCTTAGACCAGCAGAATGAAAGGCATCTCAGAATAGTATAAGAATATACAGGAATGGTGATATTGCAAGATCACCACCAACCTTTACAGCAAAGCTTCTACAGACAGCTTCTACCCCAACATGGAGTTCAATAATCCAGAGATTCTCAAGTGTATGTAGTGTAGAAAAGAAAGTGATGCCTCTGCAATTGCTTGATAAAAAATTATAAGTCTAAACTATACATTTGGTGGTTATGAATTTATAAAGAGTATAAGCTTTAACTCAAAATGAAATATATTTCAACTATAAATATCAGATATGTATTATAAAAATTATTAGTACTATTCTCTAAAGAGCATACAGATATATAGCAACTTGTCTCGCACATTATGCAATGATAATACACGGAGGCCACACTGCAGCATGAACTTCAGGAATATTTGAGAGAGAATGTGAAGGAAATAAAACATTGTGAAATTTAAACATATAAACATAAATTCATACAAAGTTGAAATTTATTATACGTTGTACTGCTTATCTCTATCATATGAGTGCTGAGTGATCTAATCTAAACATATAAACATAAATTCATATTTCGTTATGCTTGCGGTCTCCGTGCTAAATCCACACATAAAAATTAATTTTCATACATCTACCGGACTAAAACAGTTCAAACCAACTTTGACAAAGTAAACCTAAAAAATTTCAGTCCAAATAAAAACAGCCTAGCTCCATTTTTACAGAGCCTAACTCCATTTTTGGAACAACCGAACTCCATTTTATTTACAAATGAACTCAGCGAAGTGGTTAGAGAACTAATGGATGAAAAGGTTGCTTTTTATTTTGGCCAAACCTTGCGAATTTATAGGAAATACAATACTTAATTACATGCAGCATGCTCTGATAAAAAGGTTGCCGTGAAATATTAATTTGTTGAAGATAATGATGTGGCCGTACTCTGAAGAAGAATGAACGTGTGTAGGCTTGAAAAAAACTCGGACAACACACAGAAAAGGTATATACAGAACTGCAGATCGATTTCAAAGAAATCAGGGAAGGCCTCAGATGATCAGATCTGTTAAGATTGAAAAGAAAAAAAAAACATATATTGCAGAGAAAAGAAGAGCCTATGCAGGGGTGAAACTACTACTCCATAGAAAAATTAAATACGACTCTGTTTTTTGAGGAATTGAATTTAAAAGACACTTCCTTTTTAGAGGCTCAGATCTGTGTTTCTAGAGGGAAATGGGAGCCGAAACCGCCATGGCTGCAACAACCGTTTCCGTTTCCGAGTTGCCCCGCCAAGATACGGATCGGTTAACCAAACGCCTCAAAATTAGACAGCCCAGGAAGAGGAAACACAGAAAACCATATCATCACAGCCGCGAGATTCAAAGTTCTAACAACATAAGCAGGACGAAGGGAACAGATCTTAACATACTTCATAATACGGAGTAATAATAATAATAATAATAATAATAACAACAACATTCCTCAGTTTCAAGACAGGGAGTGTTGAAGTTACTGCATGCGTTTGCGACGAAGGTAAATGAAAGGGCGGTTCGGCTATGGGAATGGAGAAATCATGCGCAGGTTGGAGGGAGGCAACTGCCCATTCAACAAACTCCCATCCCTCTCCTGCCTCACTTCTTCCTGGGCTACTTGCAGCCTTACGTGTGCATTCGGGATTTAGTCATTTAGGTTATGTTTGGCTCAAAAGATCTATCTTTAACTTTTTTGGGATAGATTTTACTTCCATTATTTTCAGTTTGAGATCAAATTAGATCATATTTAAACAGTTGAGATCATATTTATAAAATAGATAAAGACCGGATATTTACTATATCGGACCAGACCAGTTCAGACTAGACCATGACAAACTAGAAAAAATCAGACTTAAACATATCAGATCAGACCAGCAAATTCAAGTCCAAGTAAAAACATCCTAATTGTTAACTTTTTCATATCTTTCTAAATTTATTATAATACTAACGTTTGTTCGCGCAATGCGCGAGAGTGTTTGCCCAATATTAAAGTATTGTTCTTTTTCGTAAAGAATTATTACATGGAAATTATTATGAGATTTTTTAAATAGTTACTGAACTATCTTGTATATTTTAAAAATTGTTGGATCAAATATAGTCCATGTCAATCAATTATTGTGTGGAAAATATGTCCATATGACTTTAAAGCATGTTATTACGTGATTTGGTTGTATTGTTTTTGTTTTAACTAGTATAGTGCCCGTGCGATGCACGGTATAAAGTTTTACAAATTATTTTATAGAAGGGCAATTTTAAGAAGAAAATGTTGAAAATAATAACCCCAAATATACTTGATCCGCTAACAATAATCTAAACCATTGATTATTTTTGTATAATCTAAACTATATATATAGACCGCCCGCCAATAATGACCCATGACCGGGTATAACATGTTATAACAGGTCAATTTTAAAGTACTCTATGAATAATCTAAATTATGTTCGTTCTTTTTTTAATAACCTCAACCACCAATTGAATTGTTTTACAAACCGTAGAAAACTTTATTTAAATTTTGAATTTTATAAATGAAAGTTTAACTAAATCTAAAAACGTATTGTGTTTTAGAAATAACAAATGTTATTTTCTAGGGCTTCAGACATTTCCAGGGCTTCAATCTCGCCATGCTCGGCAAGTTTGGTTGGAAATTATTTTCCGACCCGGATACTATGGTTTCATGCACTCTAAAGGCTAAGTACTTTCCACATGGGGATTTTATAGGGGCGGCTTTGGGCCATAACCTCAGTTTTATTTGGCGTAGTATCTGGACGGCTCGGGCATTAGTGAGAGAGGGCTATCGATGGAGCATTGGAAAAGGTGATAACATTCTAGTTTCGGATCAGTTGTGGCTCCATAATAATGATGATCCTTGGATCCATACACATGGCAGTGTGTTAGAGGCTTAGAACAGCTCAAGGTCAGTCAACTAATTAATAAAGAAGAAGGAGTTTGGAAAGAAGATATGGTTCGGGGACTTTTCGAATATAGGGATGTGGATGAAATATTGAAGATTCCTTTACTAAATTTAGCTCCATATTTGTGTATTATAGGTGGGGACAGTCCGGAAAACAATTGGCATACCTTTTTGTCCTGTCGAGAGAGTGTTGATTGCTGGAGAAGAATGCATCTTTGGGACTCCGTGTCAGAGGTGGCTTCTAGGGCGGAGTCTTTCTTTGATTTCTTCTCGGAGATTTTTACTAGCTTTTCTAATGAAAATTAAAAATGATTGGGATGACGATGTGGAGCATTTGGAGACGGAGAAATTGCTAGTTATGGGAGGGCCGACGGGATACGCCGCTGGAAGTGATACACAGGGGAGCTAAGGTTTTACATGCCTGGGAAAGTGCTCGCAAAGGAAATACGTCCAGAGTAGCTAGGATTGTTAATGTCGCTAGGAAGGAAGCTGAAATGTAATGTGGACGCTGCCATTTTTTATGAAGGAAAGAGAGTAGGTACAGGCTGTTGTGTGAGGGACTATCAGGGTCACTTTCGAATAGCTAAAACCGAGTAGTGTAAGGCTGCATTATCTCCGTCTGAAGCTGAAGCATGGGGACTAAGACAAGCTATGAGTTGGATGACAAATTTTAGCTATGATGAGATTATCTTCGAAATGGATTCGAAACAAGTTGTGGAAGATGTGCATTCGGACAAGGTGGCCAGAATAGAATACAGAGCTCTCATCACGGACTATAGAGCCATTCTTGAGAGTCATAGCAACTTTGAGGTTGTTTTTACTAGGCAGGAAGCTCACGGTTGTTTTTCATCATATTCCTCATTGTATTATCAACATTATTAATAATGAAATGAATTAAGTTTTTATCGTCAAAAAAATCCATTACATTATGTAGTAAAACTATGTGTAAATGGACCTCACTCAGTTCGAACAAGTTAATGTTTGGCCTATATCAAATCAAACATTACGTAGAGAGAAAAGAGACTAGTTCACAACAGCAATAGAGGACAAAAAATCGGAATTATGATCTGAAGATTGAACTTAATTGTGTTTCCACCTCATTTAAACCAATCTGAACACTTAAAAACCTGACAAAATCTTAGGTTTACAGAACTCATTTGAAATCGACAAATTTTAGTGCATGAAACTACATGGATCATTGAAGCATTAAAGATCTCCAATCGACTTTGTAACATACTGGATTTTTTATTTTGCACTCACCCTTATACCCACCTTATGTCCACCATGTTTGTGAAGGTCTTTATGTCTATGAATCTGGTTCAACAAAAAAAAATGTGTTATTTTGTCTGTGCAAAATTTGCACATTTAAAAAAGCCTTGAACAAACATTTAAGTATAAAAATTATATAAGAGTGGGTACAAAGAGCATTTTTGTTAGTATTAAGCCTTTTTATGAAGTGAAATATTTCTTTTCTGATCCAACCATGTATGATATGCACAATACACAGAATAAGAACGCAGTGGGGAAAGTTAAATGCACTTCAATAGCATAGGCACAGAATAGCAGGTTATGACTTATGATAAGACGAAGAAGATTGAGAAATACATGTGTGTTGTCCTACAACATACAAGTCAGGATAAAATGTTCCTAACAAATAGAGGAAACCTGATCACCTATAGCGTTATCCATTCACAAAACTCAAATATAATTCAAGATGTAGATTCTTCCGCACCTGTTTGGTAGAGGTAACTCATATATAAAGGCTCAGATCTGTCTCCAGCAGGCAATATGAAGCCCAAGCCACAATGGTTGCAATAACTGAGCAATTCCGGATTGCCCTGCCAATATAAACTAAGGTGGTTGGTTACCTGATATATTATTGAAAAGTAGAGGATATTATTGGCTAGCAGAGTGAGGACAATCACCCTTGCAGAAAAAACACAAAACTCACCTTTCTAAGCTCATTCTTTGAATTGACCTATACACTCCGCTAGTCATCTATCTATCCATTTTCCAAAACAATAATCAACAGCCCTCTAGAATAATATTGGGCTGGCTAACCTACGAGGTCCAGGTAACATTATACATTTGTACTCGAGGTCAACTCCAAATTTTTTAACATTGGCTGAACCCTTGTCAGATATTATCAAGCAAAAATTAAGCCTTGTTTCATTGTATTATCATTCTAAAGGGTTGTTGAGCAGCTCATTAATCAAAGTTTTTAGGGATAATCATTGGGATTTAAAAGAACAACAAAAGGAGGGAGCAACTACCACAAAACTCATTTACCTCCTCAAGAGTTCACATTAAGCTTCATTATCCACACGGCCACACCATCAAGCCAAGCCAAGTGTAGATTCTTTTGGTAAGAGATTAAGAAAGGGTAGTTTGAAAGAATGAAGGAATGGATGGATGAATAACTGCAAGTAATTAACTTCTGGGAGTTTTCAAAGACAGAACCAATCCACGTTTGGTTTACAGAATAGAGGCTCAGAAAGGTGGTTTGCCAAAAGAAAATTAATATGCCGCCATGGCTGCAAACATCAAAATATCAAATGCTCATGACATTGAATGTTGCCCCACCAAGATACGGATCGTATATTATCCATGCCCAATCAATTGTCCCAAAATAAATGGGTAGTGCCAAGTATCATCAGTTCCCCTTATGCCAGCACCAAAGGCATCTCATATGAGCATAATAGAATTTATAGGAAACATACACTTGATTACATGTTCACATGGCTTTACCGGAGCACAAACTGTGAATTCAGTGCTTATAAATATATGAAGAGGATAATCTCAAGCTCAATAAGATGAACTCCCCTTATCCTTTAAGGGATACAACAACATAACATCCAAGCCATAGTCCAAGAAGAGTTTGGAGTTGACTAACATGAATCCGGATATGCCATCCGCAAATGACATCAGAGAAATGAGAGAAGTATTTCATAAATGGTTAGATTTTTTCTCTGAGTATAAAAATATACTACAACTTGTGTGGTGCACTAAGCAGTCCCGTGTGGCAGTTACGTGGATCAATGTGGCACAGTATAACATGGACAACTTCTAGCACAACATAAACTTCAAGGGTCAGCTTGGAATGCCAAAAATGCTTGGACAAGAAAATAGGTAGGGAAATAAACGCGGAAATTTGTGAAGAAATTGTTAAGGAAAATAAAACATACTCTGGATTTACTTATATTAGTTGTTGCATTGTAACTGAGAGGATCCTTTCCGGTGTGTAAAAAATGTAACTGAGAGGTTACAGGTTCAATCCTCGGTGCGGAGTCTTATCATATACTGTAATACTCAAATCTATCGAAATTGGACAAAATCATATAATGCTGAAAGAGATAACTCCTGAATTTTTATAGAACTTTGCTTTTTAAAGAAATTTTAAAGAAATTCCTTTTTATAGGCTCAGGTCTGTGTTTCTAGAGGGAGATGGGAAGTAGAACCGCCATGGCTGCAACAACCGGTTCCATTTCCGGGTTGCCCCGCCAAGATACGGGCCATGTCCTTCAAATCCCTCAAAATTAGTGGCCCAGAAAGAGGAAACACAGAAAACCATATCAGCACAGCCTCTTCACAGTTCTAACAATAAGCAGGACGAAAGGAAAAGGTCAAATATGATACTGTAATTAATTAATACAGAGTACTGATAATAATATCAGCAACAATAACCTTCAGTTACAACTGGGGT